ACAGAAAGGGAGAGATAAAGAGAAAAAGAGAGAGAGGAAGAAAGAAAGAGATCTTTGATTTACTTGTTTACTCCAAATGGCCACAATTGGCCAGGATGGGAACATGTCAAAAACAAGAGGCGTGGGCCCTGGAGCAAAGGCTAATCATCCACCTACAAGAATAAGTATCCCAAAAGGTAATTGGTTCATGTCCTGGCTGCTCCACTTCCCATCTAGCTCCTCCCTGCTTATAACCTGGGAAAGCAGTAGAGAATGGCTCAAAACCTTGGGACTTTGCACCAATGTGGAAGACCTGGAGAGGGCTTCTGGCCCCAGGCCCCTGATTTCAGATCAGCTCAACTCTAGCCATCACAGACATGTGAAGAGCTAACCAGAGTTGGAAGATCTTTCTCTGTTGCTCCTTCTTTTTGTAAATCTCCCTTTCAAATAAAAATAAAACTTTAAAAAAAAAATCAAACAGGAGTCTGAAACTCTATCTGGGTCTCCCACATGGATTGCCAGGGGTACAGAATGTGAGCAACCTCCTAATGCTTTTCCTGGCACATTTGTTGGGAACTAGATTAGAAGTAGAACAGCTGGGAGTTGAACTGGCACTCCAATACAGAATAACAACATTACAAGTGGCAGCTTAAACACAAGTGCCACAATACTAACCTGTACACTTTACTTTTAGTTTACAAATGAAATTTAAGTGAGAGGTCTCACTCATGAAAAAAAATAAATGGCATTCTAAACTAGAGTATTTTCTATCATGCACTACAATTATGAGAAATAATTGTGTGTGATGAAGTGGATATTTGTGTTCTCCAAAATCCATATGTTAAAGATTTAGCTACCAATTTGATTGCCTTTGGAAGTGGAGTTTTGGGAGACAACTAGATTTAGAGAAGATCTTGATGGTAAGATCCTCCTTGGCACACAAGTTGAGTAGCTCTTTGTGACACCTACATCCCATACTGTAAGCCAGTCAGAATCCCAGTCTCTCTGCTTTCAATCCAACTCTTGCTAATGTGCTAGGGAGGCACCAGGTAATGGCTCTAGTAATTGGGTCCTTGCCACCACTGTTTTCCTGATGGAATCCCTAGATTCTGGCTTCAGCCTGGCTAAGCCTGGGCTGTGGGACGATTTGGAGGAGTGAATGAAGAGATGGAAGAATGTCCCATTGTCCTGACTTTAATATAACTCTGAAAAGTTAGTTTGATCAATGGACATCACTTATGGTGACTTTAAAATAAATATAATGGCATTGAAATAGTCACAGAATAGAAAACATTAATGTTTATAAATAAGTGGCATAACACAAACTAAGAAATTTACTATGTTTAACTTGCCAGCTAATGTTATGAACTCCAGCAATCATCAAAAAGCACTAATTTCAGTTCCTTTTAGCTAATGTATGTAAAAATGGTTGCGACTGGGTCTCTGTGCTAGCTCTGGTTTACGTCCTAAAGTCAAAGGCCTGCTTTGAGCCTGGTTCTGGCTTGCTGACTGATCTACTGTGATCCTACTTAGCCTGTGTACACTTGGATCAGTCCAGATTTCCTGTGTCAGGAATGATTGCAAAATTGGAGCATGAATCATCTGTTAGTCTAAAATGTTACTTTAAACATGACAGAAATTCTAATTGGAAGATGTATTGTTCTAGTTATATGTGAAGTCCAGCTTTAAAGGAAATATTTCATTTCTGCTATTTTTGTTGCTTTTAGATTGAGAGGCAGTATGATACTGAGGGTGAATCAGTTTGGCATTGCTTGGGAATAATTTGCTTTTTGGCTGCTATTTTATGTCTGCTTGTTGCTAATTAGAGTTATGCTGCTTGAATCATATATTACACACCTGTTTTCCTGTGGATTACATGCACATAACAGGGCTCATCATGACTAGGTAGTGTGGTGGCCTAGAGTCATTTTTTTCATAAGGCTATCAAATCTATCCGATAAGAACAAATGCATTATCCAGTAAGAAGTAAAAGGGAGAAAGCAAAAACAAAAGAGGAAAGAGGTGCAATGAGTTAATGAAACTGCAATTTGGAGTACCCCCATCCTATATCTGAATGCTGATTTGAGACCGCGATTCTCTGCTTTTTGCTTGAGTTCCCTCCTAATGTGCCAGGAAAGCTGCAGACGATGGCTCAAGTTCCTACCGTCCTTGTGGAAGGCCAGATGAAATTCCTGGCTTCTGGCTTCTGTCTGGTCTAGCCCCAAGAAGTGATGCCATTTGGGATGTGAACACAGAGGGGAAATCTCTCTTGTTGTCTCTTGTTCTTGCTCTCACTCTGCTTTCAAGAAAATGAATCTTTTTTTTTCAAAAAAGTCAGCTATGGAAAAAATTTCTCTGAATGTTTGGTGAAACTCTAAGGAGTAAGGACTTCTTAGGAAATGCTGGAAAATATGGGTACTCCATGAACTCACAAGTACAACTTAGGAAAGAGGAGAGTAGTAGATTCTGAAAGCCAAATACTTATTTTCTAGTCAACTTTCAGGTGTATATGGCTGCAGAAAATTTGTTTCTTTTTAAAACTATTTGTTTTGTTTATTTGAAAGGTAGAGTTATGGAGAGAGGAAGAGAGAGAAATCTGTCCACTGGTTCTCTCCCCAAGTGGTTGCAATGAACTGAACTGTGCTGGGCAGAATCCAGGAGCTAGGAGCTTTGTCCAGATCTCCTGTGAGGGTGCAGGGGCCAAGGACTTGGAGTCAGCTGCTTTCTTGGATTCATTAGCAGGAGGCTAGAGGGAAGTAGTACAGCTGGGACTCAAATAGGCACCCTGTGAGATGCTAGCACTACAAGCGAAGAATGGGATGAAGCTCCAGGCTCTTGGCTTCAACTTGGAGTGGCCCTGGCTGTTGCAGCCATTTGGGAAGTGCACAGTTGATGGAAAATCTCTCTCTGTGCCTCTCCCTCTCTTTCGGTAACTCTTTCAAATAAATGAATTTAAAAAAAAAGAATTAGTAGATACCTCCTATTTTAAGTAAAGGCTATCAATCATACTCTCTCTATATATATATAGTACATATGATTATATATAATGACTGTTTTATATAATATATATAATCATATGATATATATATAATAACTGTTTTTTACTTATACCTTATATGTCATGCCATAGTTATTGTTTTCTGCTGAAAATACAAGTGCCAAAAAAAACCAAGTTCACAAAGTTTATGACAAAGAAATGTGTTTTTAAATGTGCAATCTAAATCATTAGTGGCCCAAATTCAGTTTCCTAATCAAGATGAGTAAGTAGGACTATAATCCTAATAAGAAATTTTACTTGACATATATCCCTAATTACTTTATATTCATGTAGCTTATAGTTTAACTTCAATTGAATTCAATTCCTTCCCATACTACACTCATTTTAAAGGTTTTTGGGCCCAGCACGGTGGCGCAAGTGGTTAAGGTCCTTGCCTTGCACGCCCGGGATCCCATATGGGCGCCGGTTCTAATCCCAGCAGCCCCGCTTCCCTTCCAGCTCCCTGCCTGTGGCCTGGGAAAGCAGTCGAGGACGGCCCAAAGCTTTGGGACCCTGCACCCGCGTGGGAGACCCGGAAGAGGCTCCTGGCTTCGGATCGGCATAGCATCGGCCAGTTGCACTCACTTGGGGAGTGAATCATCGGAGGGAAGATCTTCCTCTCTGTCTCTCCTCTCTGTCTATCTGCCTTTCCAATAAAAAAATAATAAAAATAATAAATATTTTAAAAATAAAAGGTTTTAATACTTTATTTCTTATTGGAAAGGCAGATTTACAGAAATCAGGAGAGACAGAGAGAAAAAGAGAAAAATATTGCAACAGCCAAAGCTGTCAGTCCAAAGCCAGCAGCCTAGAGTTTTTTCTGGGTCTCCCATGAAAGTGTCAGGTCCCAAAGCTTTGGGATGTCCTCCACTGTTTTCCCAGGCCACAGGCAGGGAGCTGGGTCAGAAGCAGAGCAGCCAGGACATGAATGAGCACCGGTAAGGGATGCCAGCACATACAGCCAGGGAATTAGCCAGTTGAGCCATCTGCACTAATTAAAAAAAAATATATATATATATATATACATATATATATATGAAAGGGAAAATATTGAGAGACTTTCTATCTGCTGGTTCACACCAGAAATGCCCATAATAGCCAGGTATTGCCAGGTCAAAGCTAGGATGTCAGAACTCACTCCAAGTGTACACTCCAAGTGAACTCCAAAGGGCATGTGTTTGCAGAAAATGGAGATTGATAGTCCGGCCAAACTTGTTCAGTCTCAGGCATTCTAATCTCAAGTGGCTCTTAACTGTTAATTCAGATACCAGGTCATGAAGTTTATTTGGTTAATAGTTGATATTATATCTGAAGATATATCTGTTTCTAAGAGGTGCCAAATTAATATTCACATGAATTTTTCTTTTAAAATCATTTTCATTGACATGTGATATTGATGCACAATTCAAAAGTAACAAAAGAATACACAACAGAAGTAGATGTTTCTCACCTTTTCCCATTACACAATTCCCTCTCGTGAGCCAACTACTGTTCCTTGGGTAAGATCAGTTAAAATTATATAAAATTTGCTCCTTTTAAGTGGATAATTAAATAATTATAAGCATATAATGTTTCAAAATTGAGGTGATTGAATTGTGAAATTAATGTTCAAAAGAAATTTTTCCAATATTCTGAAAACACTGTCATAATTATATGAATACCATATTTAAGACTTGTATGGAGATAAACAGCTTTCTGGACAGAGGCAAAGTTCTGAAATTAATGTTAGTATTATTTTAAGAAAAGTAGGAGTTGTTTTTAGTCATCCAATTTACTCAGTGACTGTAACAGAAATGACCTACATAAGGAAAACATCATGCTAAATCAGAAGGAAATGATAAATGAAGGTTTAAAGGCCAGCGCTGCTTTATTCTATTCAGTGACTCAAGTGAGAATTAAGTATGCATATCTTGTCAAGTCAGTGGGGTTATTATGCTCATCATTCATAGATGAAGAAGTGATCTGTCATCTGTCAGATGCTATGATGAGGTAATTTGGGATCTGCCGTAAGCTCCTGCTCATGTTTGTCAGAACAACAAGATTCACCATCACACACACACACACACAAAGTGATTCTCGCCCCATTCATACACTTTGAGTATTATTTTTGTTTAAATACTATAATGTTTTAAATTTTAGTCATCGATCAAGAAAAAAGTGTAGAAGATTAATTTTAAACTTATTTGAGGATATTATAAGTATATTAGGTTAGTGAGATACTTCAGCAATCTAGCTTTCAGCTATAGTCTATGTACTAGATTATTATTCCTATTATAATAGTAATTTGGGTCCACTGTGAATGTTTTTTAAAAGTATAAACAGCAAAGTAAGGACAAAATTTCCATAAAATTATTCCATCCAGACATAATAGCCAATACCATTTTTTTCTGTATTTATTTTAACCTTTTAAATTAGTTATATGTATTTACATATATAAATGTAGTATATGTTATATACTTATATACTTATATACTTATATACTTATATACTTATATACTTATATATGTTCTGTAAACTACCATTTTTCTCAATAATCTACTCATGTGGGAGGCCTAGGAGAAGCTCCTAATTCTATCCTGGCCAGCTCTAGCCATTGCAATCATTCAGGTTGTGAATGGAAAGTTCTGTCTCTCCCTCTGTCTATAACTCTGCCTTTGAAATAAACAAATAAATAATTAAAAAAAAAAAAAGAAAATTGAATCCCACTCAAGGCAAAGGCAAAGCTTAGATAATCTTGTAACTGCCATGATTGGAATGATTTTTCATCACAGCTTGTATTGCATGATGTTTCAATAGTTGTTTTGAGAAATTGAAAAAAAATCTTAGTTATATCCTTGGTTTCAAAAAAAATGATTCCTTTTCTATAAAATATTTTGTCCTGCATCCAACAGAACTGAACAATCATATGGTGCTATAACTTTTGAAATTTTAAATTGAGTTCATACTATAGTCTTCAAATTATAAAATGGTGCCCAGGCTGTTTCAACTTCTGTTCAAAATAAAGTTTCCAGTGGCTTTTTAAGCATCGTTTTTGTATTCTGGAGAGAGGTTATCTAAGGGGAGGGGGAAGGAGAGCTCAGCTGACAGGGAGAACTTTTTATGTACCTTAGACCATTTGGATCTTTATAACATCATTCACAGGCCATACAAAATTATTAACTTAAAACTATCCTGCTTATGGACTTATGAATTTTGAGTTCCACCTGCAGTTGTCTTGACATGACTAGATTGAATTATTTCATTATTATATTATATTATATTTTGTCCAAAGGCTGAATGTTCCCTACCCCTGATCTAAAAACAGGAAAAGAGACAGATAAATGAGAAAACAGCAAATAATTTCAACGACCTGAAAGTACACACACATACACTAACCTATTTCTTTAGAGAAATTTCTAAAACAATAAAGGGGTACAATTCAATACAGGAACAAATTTATAAATACTAATATTCCTGTTATTTAAAATTCTTGAATTCTTCATTTATGATTTTTAGTTTGCAGCATCTTTCCAAGTTTATATATAAGATAAAATGAACCACTTTGGATGTGGAATATGATCTTCTGTTTCTTCTAAGCAATGTAGCAGGACAACAAACCCGACTTGAATACATTGTCTTCCTGACCAAAAAAATATAATCCCTAAACACCTGGAGGTCTGAATTATTGAGAAGTGCTATCTAAGAGTGGACAAAGGCTGCTACAGGAATTGCTGTGTGAGCATGGCGTGGTCCCTGGTGCTTTTGCAAGTGCTTGGCACCAAAAAAGAAAGAAATCATAGTGTAAAACGTCATCTGGAACAAAAATTCAGAATTATATCCATTTATCAGTGCCAGTAGTCATAGGATGTGGATTTTACTTTTTATAAAATTTCCACTTGGGTTCTGCTTCTTTCATTTTGCTCTGTCGTTTGGAGTGTTAAATTGCATTCATTCGTCTTTGCAGTGTGCCTGTTGACTATATGGCATTAAAATATAGCATTATTACATATATGATAAATATGTAGATGTAAACATGTAACGTTACACAAATCTGATACCAGGATGGTGGCCAAGCTGGTTTTGCTTCCAGTCGCATCTGTCCCATCTCTTTTTTACTCTCTCTGTCTCATTAGTAGTTATGATCACACTCAAGCACTTTTGACAATTGCAGGATTGCTAATTAAAGCCACCAGTGTTTCCAATTTGTTCTTCTTTGGTTTCTCACCTGCAGACATTTCCTATTAGATGTAGGACTATTTAATAACCTCTCCTGCAATATGAAAAACTAATGGTTCAGAGTGCTTGTGACAAAGGTGCTCTCCTCACCTCCAAGCAGGTGTTAGCTTTCAGTGGTTGTTACCAAAGGAAATCACAGAGCCTGCTTCTTTTATTATTCTTGTATTCTTAAATCCAAATAACATCTAAAATTTCTGGCTTGAGATTGGATTTAAATAAATAATGACTTGAATCCGTATTGGCATAGTTAACTTCTCTTTGAAATGTCCTTTATCTCTTATGCAATAAAGAGTTATGAAAATGTTTGTATGATTATTTTTGGATGTAGCTATTTTGAAGCAAAATTGCAATCATGTTAATACAACTGTTAAATGGGAAAAGGAATATGTCAGAGATGTAGATATATCTCCTTCTCTATCAGTATCTCTCTCAGACTGCTTCAACACTTTGCTTCTCCTAAAACCTAAATACATTCTTGGGAAATTCGCAAAGTTACTGTTATGCATGAAACCGATATAAAACACTGTAAAGCTTTACTAATGCAAAGTACTACAATTTCTGTTACAGAGTAATTATTACTCAGTACTAATATTGTGGTGTTACTGCTCCAAAGAAAGTGAAACTTCATCACGCCTGTGCTAAAGATTAGAACACATCCATTTGCCCTCAATGTCAAGAACTATGAAAAGTCTCATGTGCCGTTTTTTAATCTTATCAAAGGGGGTTATTTTTTTCCCTAACATTTTTCACTGTTTCAGATAATTAATGATAATGTTGTTGCTCATGTTTAAGACATAGCTTTGACAGTTCAAGCCACTTGTAAGCTGAACAAGATAAGATATTGGGAATAATATTTTAGTTTAAACCATTGAGTATCTCTGATAGATCATGCTTTCATTTCTGATCTTTAGCCAGTCACTCAGACTGCCTGAGCCAAGTTCACTTGAAACCTATATTGACAGAAACTAGCTTACAGAAGAGCCGGTGGGGGGGTGGATTGTGAAAATCTTTAGGTATTTTATTTTATTGATACTTTATATATATTGTTGTTAGAATAAATGTAACACCATAGGAAGTTAATGGAGTCAGTTTTTGTTTGATAACAATACTGTTGAATTAAAAGGGACTGGAGAAGAATTATTATTAGAAAGATATGAATAGAGAAAAAATCAAATAGTTTATAACACCTTTTCAAATATGAAGATAACTATCTGAAGTTAGCATACTCTAATCACTAAGGATATTTTTCAAGTGAAAAAAAACCAGCAATGAATAAATCTAAGAATTCTGAGGGATATTCTTTAGTCCTGAAGCTACGTCCAGTCCTTTCATTGCATGGTCTTTGATGGCAGAAACACATCTGGTTCACCTTTCAGAATAGTTGACTCTAAAGTGGAGAATCATTATTATGTTTTTGTCCCTTCCCAGATTTTGCACAGTAAGCAAGAACTCATTTAGGATCCCTTTTTAATGCTTTATCGTTTTTGTCTTTAGGAATTGTACAGATGTTCTGTGCTGCATGGTCTTCGCACTGTTTGTTTTGGGCTATATTCTTTTAGGACTTGCAGGTAAGTAAATACAGGTATAGGATATATTTAAATTTGCTAATGGGATAAGCAATTCAATGTCATATTTTAAACATTAATTCTGTTCTTTTAAATGCCTACATATTGGTTTCTGTCTGTACTGGAGGGAATGTGCTTCACCAGAACTCATTGAATAGCAGACATAAAGAATAAACAAAAAGATGCTAGCAGAACAAGCCCAAATTACCTAGGAAACAAAATTGAGAGGAAGGAAGAAAACAGTTTATTGTTTCTTTTAAATTGCTTTGGCTTTTGAAGTTCTCTTGGGCAACTAATCATATTCATGTTACTATTTACTAATAGCAATTATATCCTAAAAAATTCAGGTAATATATAAACTTCTTTTTATATGCAAGTTAAAAAGAAGGATCCCTTGTTAAAAACATCACCAGATAACTCATTACTACATATGAGGTCTTAATATCTGTGCACCAGAGATATCCTGTTGATTGCTGTGTTGCTAAAGATATTTCTATGAAAGTTAAAATAAAGCTTATAAATATAGGGATTTTAAAATTTTTAATTATTAGGAAACAGAAACTAGTGTGGATATGTTTTGTCAAATTGTTTTCCAACTGACTTGCAATTTTTCTGCAGAGACATGGGGCATTGCCCTTTAGATGTTAACTTCGAAAACATCAATATGTTACTGTTAGTATGAGGACTATAAACTCAGATATTAGCTTTTAGCACTAACAATTAATGAAATTGCATTAATGTAAAAAGAAGGTATTAGCAGAAAGGAGGCTATGTAAAGAACCATAAGGTAAGGATCCTGTGTAAGGAACAGTAAAATAGAATTGCCCTGTTCTTCAGGTTTAATTTTCTATAAGAAAAATATTTGAAGAACAGCAATTGCAAGTGGTTTACCAAAGATATTCTCAGTATTATTTTTGCAAAAATCACATAGAATTGGAAAAATTTTTAAAACTAAGATGAGAAAATAGAAAGGGGGTGAAAAACAGGAGCATAAGCCATAAAATTAAATAATACATACTTCTGAGGCCTCAGCACATTCCTTCCTATTTGTTACAGTAGCTTAATTTAAGATATCAATGTGGCGTACTATATAATCTGTGCATGTAGTATTATAATGAAATGAATTTTCTCATATAAGCAGAATCTTAGCTTCCCTAATGTTTTAACACATGTTCTTGCCTGCATAGCTTTTTGCATGTGTTTGTCATAAAATTGAAATTTGTTGCAAAAGAGTGATATTTGGAATCATGCAAATCTAGTGTTTTCTCATGCTTTTGTGATGGGCTTGGATTGCTAACTTAGCCTCCTCACAGGAAGTATGGAAGCATTACCTACCTTCCAGGGCTCTTGTGAGGAGAAATGAAATAATTCCCACTGCGCTGATAATATTACATTACAGTAACAGGTAATAAGCTCTTTGCCTTCTTTTTGTAAGTGTTTTAGTTTTTCTGAATTTTGATAAGATTTTGAAATATAATTTGCTATATTTTTATAGCAATCCATAACTTTGTTAACATTTGAACTTACATGGGACCTTCACAGCGATTTCATCCTATAACCAAAATCTTTCCATTAGGAGAACTTATTACACAATCAATTACGACTCTCTTCCAGTTCTCTAAGCTACTTTGATGTAACTCAGAGAGAAATTAGTTTGTCCTTAAATAGAGGTAGAAAATCCACTGCTCCCTGTCCCATAGACACAGCAGAGGAGTTTGCCCCATTATCTTCCTGGAGCAAAATGATAAATTTGCCTTCCTGTCCAGTACCTCTACCACTTGTCAAAATCTTAATTCACAAAGAAATTGAAAATTAAAAGTTGTATCTCATATTAGATAAGTGATTTTCTCCAAGCTTAATCTCAATGCAACAAAATTCACTAAATATGTTTTCCTCATCTCTGAACTACAAATAGCCCTGCTGTTTTGTTTCCAACATGAACTTAACTCTTCATTTATAACCAATGTTGTACTAAACGGAAGAGAGTGATGGGTAGAATTTACAAAAACATGAAACAAAAATATGAAAGAATATGTACCTTTACCTGAAGAAAGATGATGCTAAGTCAGTTTCACTGGTATATTATAAGCATTTTGACATCTTGTGCCACCTTTATGAAATAGATGTGTCTGATTTATGAAATTCATAGATGCGTCTTTTATCATTGATTTTTCCTAACGAAGTGCTACTACAAAAGGGTCATGATTCTCAAAAAATCTACTGAGAGAACATTGCTCTTTGCCCTTTATAAGGAATATGGTTAACCAAGGTGATTACTTAAATTCAACAAAGGCATTGAACACTCAGTTGATGGCAGTCAGATCCCCTGTTCCAGTGGGTTAAATAAAGTCTGGATAGAATTAAATATCCTTGAACTTTGTCAAACATCAGGGAGGGAGCGGCCTTGTTTCCAGTTTCTGGATAGACAGAGACTTCACAGTGCACTGATGTTCTGGTGTTTTGGCTGTGGCCTTTTGTATGTCACTGTTCATTGCCAATTCAAACTTTCCATTACATTCCTGGGCTCCTATGTTTGGCTCAAGCATTATAGGGTTTTTTTTGTTTGTTGTTTGTTGGTTATTGTGTTTTTTGCATACTTAAATGTTGTTTAGTCATTGATCCTGAACAGATGACCAAATGTCAAAATGGCTGCATGAAAACTTGCTTTATCAGGACCTTTTTTCTTTAGGTCCTGAAGTTAGGCCTAGGATGCCAAACCTAATTCTTCCTGCATGACAAATATATTTTGAGAGAATGTTTACTCATTTTGGCCAGAGAGGAAGAGCTGACATTTTGTCTTTCCTCTCTTAAAGTGTACTGACGTTTTACCATCCCAGGGAATATGAGGAAGAGGGGGAGGCACTTTTTCATAACTGAGCAAGGTCACTTGACAGTGGTCTTTTATGAGATAAGTGGTTCCATCATGCCTTGAGTCTCTCTGTATTGAAAAACAGTTTTCAGTATAGATAGACAATTTATTTTACTAACATAATATGAATCTGAGATTTTTTTCTGCCTTTTTTTCTGAGGTGCTATTGGCAAAAGTTGTGCATATTTCCTTTAGATGTTACATGATATTTTGATATAAATATATCTTGTACAATGATTCTCATCATCAAGTTACTTAATACATAATTATCACCTAACATAGTTATTTTTATAGTTATCTTTATAGTTATCTTCATATGTGTTGTGGCTGGCAAGAACACAAAAGATTTAGTGTGCTGACCAATTTCAAATATATAACATTTTATTAACTATAATTACCATGTTGTACATTAGATCTCTAGAATTTATTCATCTTATACTGAAATCATTCCAATTAATCAGTCTCTCCCCATTCCTGACCCCCTGACTCCTAAACCCATTCCTCTACATTCTGATCCTGCAAGTTTGAATGTTTTTGAGTGCTCACATTGGTGAGATCGTGTAGTATTTGGCTTTTGGTGTCAGGCTTACGTCATAAAACCCGTTTTTTTTATGTTGCAAATGATGTAACTTTACTATATTAAAGGTTGAATGATATTCCTAACTGTGTAGATGTTTGTCTGCTGACAGACATTTTTCTGTATTGTGTAGATATTGTGAATAATGCTCACTGAAGTTGGGAAAGCATTTCATTTTCTAGAAAATGAATGAATACTCATTTAATTGTCTAGGAAAGGCATAGCCAGAAGAGGAAATTCTGGATCCTATTTAACTTTAATTTTAATTCCTTGAGGGACTTCTGAACTTCCTAAGATCGTACTAATTTACGTTGCCAGTAATGGTGTGTACAACATCTTTGACACATGTCGTCTCTGATTTGTAATAGCCATCTGTTCCTCAACAGACTTCCTGTTGTTTTGGAACAGTGTAAGATGACCCCAAAGTTTATGATACAGAGGATTTTGTGACTCTATGGTTGGAACTGTGACACAAAGTTGCACTGTGATTTTTGTCCATTTTGCAACTAGAATTAACTTGCCTACCATATTTTGGTTTGGGAACATCGTTTTAACAAAGAAAAAAATTTTAAGATTTATTTATTTTTATTGGAAAGTCAGATATACAGAGAGAAGGAGAGTAGAAAGGAAAATTTTCCATCTGCTGATTCACTCTCCAAGTGGCCACAGCAGCCAGAAATTAGCTCCAAAGCCAGGAGCCAGGAGCCAGGAGCTTCCTCCAGTCCCCCATGTGGTTCCAAGGCTTTGGACCAACCTCCACTGCCCTCCCAGACCACAAGCATGGAGTTGGATGGGAAGCAGAAGCACATGGATTAGAAGCAGTGCCCATGTGGGATCCTGGAGCATGAAAAGCGAGGACTGTAGCCACTAGGCTACTGCGCCAGGCCCAGAAAAAAATTTTCAAAAAAGTAAGATATTTTAGATATCTAGTCCCTTTATTTTAAAATTGTTCTGGTATACTTTTCTTAACAGAAACTATATTTTGTATAAATCAGATAACCAGAACAATACTGAATGCCCTTTTTCAATCTTTGCACATATATAGAAATTTACAAATGATTTTAATATTCACCTTTCCTTTTGCTTTGGAAATTTTCATTTTAAGAAAAAAACATTAACTTGTTAGTTAAGCGGCCTTTTTAATGTTGAGTTTTTGCTGTTTGCTGTGTTTTTCTGAGTGCACGTATTCCAGATGATTATAAATTGTTAGCATTAAATGGGCTGAAATTGTGCTGAAGGACATGATCCTAGACTCATCATTGTGTGTAAATGGACACCTGTAAACTGATAAAAAAAAAAAAATTCTTTATCCGCACTAATGGATATAGGGCTGCTTCCAAAAATGTTTCTACAGCAGCAATATCATCAACACAGATTTTCAAATTTGGTATCGTGTGTCCTATTATCTGCTTCATTGCATTTGTAAATTGCTTGTGTTAAAAAGCCATAAGCACAATTTGGCAGGCCTGTTCCGCACATATTAAAACAGTTAAAATGTACCTTTAAGGGATACAAAATAATGATGTGAATGCCAACACTTGCAACAAGGAAGTGTTT